TGGCCTGCACCCTATTTCTTGTATACAAACATAAATAAATCTTTTAAAAAATAAAATAATTAAAAAATTGTCTAGTTTCCTTCCTAGAATGTGTGTGTGTAGCAAATTCAGTAACTGGCACAAAGTAGATGCTTGGTAGCCATTTGCAGCATGAATTTTGAATGCACAGAATGTACCAAAGGGATTCACTGGAGGCAGAAAGAGAAGTATAGGGCCTCCCTGGTGGCTCAGGGGTTAGGTCTCAGCACTACCACCACTACAGCCTGAGTTCAATCTCTGGCCAAGGAGCTGACCCACATGGTGCAGCAGACCTCTCCCATCTCACCAGCTGCACCCCTTAGCAGTGTATTTCAGTAGATCTGCCTAATCTGCCCCACGCTGTCTCTGGTGAATCCTCTCACCCCTCCTCATCCCGCATTCCTGGCCTACACCCCAGTGTTTGTCCAGGACTACACAAGTATCCAGCATCCCACAAGGCAGAAATCACAATGTAGAGTATCCAATAATTAAAAAGAAAAAAGCAACATATATTTAAAAAGTTAAAACTATGGTTTATAATAAGGAGGAAAATCAATCTGATCAAAAGTAATCCATAATTGATTCACACCTTAGAACTAACAGACAACCATATTCATAGCAGCATTATTTACAAAAGTGAAAACAATCCAAATGTCAATCAACATCCATTCAAGAGGTGAATGGATACATAAAACATAGTATGTATACACACAGTACAACATTTTCCCAACTGAAAAAAAAGGAAATTCTGACCCATACTATAAAATGGGGACATTATGCTAAGTGAAATAAATTAGTTACAAGGAAGCAAGTATATGATCCTCTTACAGAAGATACCCAGAGTAGTCAAGACATGGAGGTAGAATATAGAACAATGGTTGTCAGGAACTGGGGAGAAAAGGTGAAGGGAACTGATGTTTAATAGATGTAAAGTTTCAATTTTTGCATATAAAGAGTTTGAGAGTCACACAATCATGTGAATGTATTCAACATTACTAAATTCTACATTTAAAATGATCAATATGGTAAATTTTACATTATTTATATATAATGTAATTATAGCTATGAAATTTTTTAGATACATAAATTTATAAAGATGAAAATGAAATCTTTTTTCAGATATAAAAGAGCTTAAAGAATTCATTGTTAGTAGACCCACACTAAAAGAAATATTAAAGGAAGTTCTTTAGGCAGGAGAAAATGATATCAGATAGAAATATGGATCTATTCAAATAAATGAATGGCATTGGAAATTATAACAATATGGGTAAGGATATAGATTTTTCATTGTAGCTTATAGCCTTTTTTTTTTAAAGATTTATTTATTTATGCATCCAGAACTGGGGTACAGGCCAGAGGTGCAGGGGCAGTGAGAGGCTTCACCAGAGACAGAGTGGGGAGCAGAACAGGAGGATCTATTAAAACACACTGCTGAGGGGAGCAGCAGGGAGACAGGAGAGATCTACTTTGCCTTGTGGGTGAGCTCCCAGGTTGGAGATTGAACTAAGTATGATCATAGCTTTATAGCTGCACCACCAGGAAGGCCCTATTATAAGGTTCTTATATCATAAGTCCATATAAGACATTTGTACACAATGTATAGTGTTCTTATCCATAATTTGCCCAAACTGCAAACCACTAGATGTCCTTCAAAGCAGAAATGCTTATTCAAGATGTGATATATTGTCATTGCATATTATTTAGCAATAAAGAACAAACTATTGACATACATAACAACATGGATGAGTCTGGCAGGCACTAGGCTTGAGTGAAAAAAGACAAGACGAAAAGATTATTTATTGTAGGATTCCATTTTTGTAAAATTCTAGAAAGTACAAATCATTACCTTGGGTTGGTGGGGGAGGTGCAGGAAGGGGCCTGCAGTGGGTTTACAAGGCTATATGTTCATGAAATCAACTGTAGTGATGGTTTCATTGGGATATACCTATGTCAAAATGTAGCAGAACTATGAGTCATCATTCCACCCCTCTGTACCCCAATAAAGCCAGCCTACTCCCTTTCTAACTTTCTGGACTCCGCCCCCTCTCTGTGCCTCTATGACTCCAGGTGCTGGGCACTAGGACTCCTGGTGCCAGGGCCCTGACTTCCTGAAGGAGGCGGGACAGGGCAGAAACAGGTGTTGGGAATCAGGGGACAGAGGTGAATGGGCATGTTGGACTTAAAAATGCTGAACACATTAGGCCCTCCCTGGTGGCGCAGCGGGTTAAAGCACAGCACTGAGAATCTAAAGCCGCTTCCACATGAGTTCGATTCCCGCCTGCCCCGGAGGTGACCACATGGCGTGGCAGACCTCTCCTGACCCGCCCGCTGCTCCCCTCAGCAGTGTATTTCGTTGATCTGCCTGTTCTGCACTCCATTCTGTCTCTGATGAATTCTCTCACCCTCCGCATCTCTGGCCTGTATCCCAGTTCTGTATGCACAAATAAAAAAATAAAATCTTAAAAAAAAATTACAAAAAAAATGCTGAACACATTGGAGCACAGTGCTTCTCTTACAGGGCACTCAAGGGGATTTCCGTGTCCGCTCACATGCTAGCTGGGCTGACCTTCCCTCCCTGTGGGAGGAGAGAGGGTGCTACTCTTGTTCAGGTCCCATGCACACCCCATCAGGGAGTCACCTCCTGTGGCTCTTTTTCTGGCTTCAGCACCTTGGCAGGCAACTTGATCTTGCTCTCTTGAGGGTCTATGGCAGCTGCCTTCTTAACCTTAGGGTGGATTCAGCTTGGGCAGTACATTGTGAACTTCAGGTCTGTCTTACTTGAAGCTCTGCCTATTTGGCTAAATATTTTCCCATAAGGAATGGTTAATTTCGGAGTTTGATTGGGAGTCTGTATTTTGAAATCCTTCTCTCTCCTACCCCCCTTCTCTCTCCCTCCCTTCTTTTTGAACCTCTCACTAATTAAAAATCTTTAGGCACACCAGAATTTGATTGCTTTTATGCACATGGGTGGCAATGAACACTTGGAATGGGCAACATGGGTTTTCCTTAACAGTTTGGGGCCAGGGAACCCCTGATTTTGCCCAGTAGCAAAAACTTAACAGATGTATATACTTCAAATATGTGCAGTTTATGGTATGTCAATTATATCTTAAGAAAGGTATTCAACCAACAGACAAAAGCTTAACATGTAATGTTTGCAGTCGAAGTTTGCTCAGTGTGTCTTCCATCCTAGCTTTAAGACCTCCTGACATTTTTCTGAACCTGGAAGCAGAGTGCAGTTCACTGGTCTATGATAACATGCCATCTCTTTCTGTCTTTCATGGTTGGCTAACTGATTCATAAACAGTAATTTAATTTCTTCTCTAAATGGCAAGATCCTCAAGGCCTTATATCTTACATATTTCTTTTTTTGTATTCTACACTGTCCAGCACAATTTTAAGACATACCTTAGATTCATCACACACCTTTTATATTCCTTGACAAATTTGAAGAAGGGGAAATTCAAGGCAGAAATTGAAGACCTTTTTTTTTCTTTCTATTTTTACTCTTGTACTTATCAGGAATACAGCAGAGAGGACTACATTCCTACCCAGCAGAGGGGTGGGAAATGTCAGCACAGAGTCACCCAATGCACCAAAATATCCTTTGTGCTACAAAAAATCTGAAGTGTAAATACAGATTTGCCTGTACCAGAATTAAATAAGTGGGCTATGGGATGACGGCTGATGAAGACATACTAAGGTTGCCTTCCCTTGCCCTCTTCATTCTCACCAACAAAGTGGTCCTGACCCAAAAGGAAGGAGGAACTCAAGGAGTGGCTGATAAATAACCAACATTTAATTAAACATCTCTGTTAGTTAGGATGTTCCAGTTGTGATTATAGTCACATTTCTTTCCACATTCCCTTGAAAGGATGGCAATAGGGTCTCTAGTTGCTGAGTATCTCAGCAAATGCAGAAAACGGAGAGACAGCTGAAGTGAGAACCTCATCGATATGTCTCTCAGGGGAGCTCAAAGGACCAAACAGTATTTATTCATTAGTGGTGGAGGTGAAAGTTGATTTTCTTTGCTTTCCACTGGGAGAAGTCTCCGCTGACCATAGAAACACGTCTTTGGTAGGAAAGTATGTTGCCCTGGGTTTTGATTTTGTAGATCATGTGGGCTTCCTTGATGACAAAGAATATCCAGAAACAGTGCATTAATATGCGTGACACCAAACCAAACCAGCGTATGGCCCTGACCTCTGCAATGTCAGAGGCACTGTTCGTCAGGATCTGTACTACAATGTTGACCACTTCATAGATAGGAATCCAGATGGTGTAGAGCAGCAAGCCCTTGTAGAACTGGGCATACACCGAGTAGAGAAGGATGCAGCTGATGAGGATGGTGATGACGGACAGAAAGAAGACAATTTTCAAACTCCAGCAGACGATGAGCCCAGTTATCAGGTTCCCTATACTCTTGGCCCAGGGATCATTGTCAGCACAATCGCCATTTTCCAAGAACTTCTGTTCAAAGATGAGGTACATTTGGGTGGCCATGATGGTAAAGACCCCCGATAACACGGCGCCCATTTTGGCAGTCATCCCACACCAGTGCTTCTGTTTCATTCCGAGACCGCCTGTGAAGACAAACAGTATGAGGGGGGATTCTGGGTCCAGGCAACGTGGTCAGTTACCAGGAAGTCTGCCCCGATTCACTCCGGAGAAATGACAGAAATATGGAAGCCAGGAAATAGTGGCGCTGGAGTGACAGGCTGTTTAAAGTTGATTGGCTAAACAGACCTGTCCTGTCTCACCTGCTGCTTCCCTCAGCAGTGTATTTCAGTCAGTCTTCCTGTTCTGCTCCCCACTCTGTCTCTGGTGAATCCTCTCACCCTCTGCATCTCTGGCCTGTACCCCAGTTCTGTATGAATAAATAAATCTTAAAAAAAAAAGTATGTATGTTCCATTTTTATATTGCTTTAAATTGCTATTTAGTTATTTTATACTTAATCATTTTAATGATACTAATAGGGACTAGTATTAATGAAATTAATTAATTTTGCCTAAGCTTGTACATTTGATCACAAGCAAAACCCATATCTGTCTCTAAAATCAGTTTTGACAATCAACCCACTTGCATCTTGTCTGCTTCAAAGACTTGTGAACTCACTCAGCTCAGACACCCTATTCACCCCACAGCTCTTAGACAGAGCTTTAACTAGAGGGCCTTGAATAGAGCAGACTCTTGATAAGTACCATTTTCTTATTCCATTTTCTCTCATCTTCATCAGCTATCCACAGGTGATTCTCAGGGCTATTAAGTTCCTCTCTTATTCCCTCCCTCTCTCCTAGTTTTTCTCCTTTCTACCCTTCCCTCCTTTTGTATTTCCCTCTTACACATTAAAATTTCTAAGTACATACTGTCAATTTCTGTAAGAGCAGGTAACAGTCTTTAATCTGGGAAAGAATAAACTGGGAAATACAAGAGAGAAAATATTGCAACGAGCCCTCAAATATGTTTGTTTGTTTGTTTTTAAGATTTATTTATTTATCCATTCAGAACTGGGGTACAGGAGGGTGAGAGGATTCACCAGGGACAGAGTGGGGAGCAGAACAGGCAGACTGGCTAAGTACACTGCTGAGGGGAGCCGAAGGCCGGTCAGGAGGGGTCCGCTGTGCCATGTGGATCTCCTCCAGGGCAGGCGGGGTCCAACTCATGTGGAAGTGGCTTAAGCTTTTTAGTGCTGTGCTTTAACCAGCTGCACCACCAGAGAGGGCCTATGTTTTGTTTTAACGGACAATCTTTAAAGGAATTTGAATCAAAATGCTTTCAAGAAAAAAGGTAGAATCTCCTGTTATTACAGTCACCATGCCTCCCTATTATTTCAAACCCTTTATCTTCACCCATTTATTTTACTTTCCAGGCCCTGGTATTTGAGGCTCTTTTTTAGGCATTTCTATCTTAATTGATAGAACAGATGCAAAAACTTCTATAACAATAAAATATTAATATTTTGTTCTGTATTCCTACCTCTCTGTGACTTAACATCTTCCATATTCCTCTCTGTGACATTTCTTTTTCTATAGGATTACATCTCTCTCAAGTAATATACTACATTAATTAAAAATTATGCTTTACTTTTGTAAATTATAATGTTTCAGACCTCTGCCCTTCGTGAGATTGTTCTGCTAATTTTTGGATTCTTCCACAGCACTATGCATGATCTGATTCATCTCCCAAGGAACTAATTTTACTAATAACAATTTTACTAATAACTTTGATTCATTTTGTTATTTGGCTCACTTTAGTTAAAGGCACCCATGGATTTAATTTCTAGTATTGTTCCTTAAATTGCTAGACTCTTCAGTGGGTTGGTAGTTTTCGATTGCTACTATTACAAATTACCACAAACTTTGTTAAAACATCACATTTTTATTATCTCATAGTTCTGTATGTCAGGAATCCAGATTGCATCAAGACTCAACTGGTTCCTTTGCTTCGGATTTCTCATTGCAGAAATCAAGGTGCCACTGGCTGGTTGGTTCTTATTGGGGAAGATTCCATTTCCAAATTCTTTCAGTTACTGTTGAATTCACTTCCTCACACTTAAGGGACAGAGGTTGATACAGTAAATGGGCTCTCAGATAAGCATTTGAGGATTTGCCTCCTTTGACAAATTTATGATGAAATTGGTTTTCCCAGACCTCTTAATTGTCTGTGGGTTTACTTTTTTCTCTCCTTTCCTTGCAGTTTCTCTTCTTTTGACAGGTTTAGGCTCAAGGAAAGGAAATCCCAAACAAAAGCAAATAGTGAGGAAGCTGACCAGCACCGACTCCTCTTCCTCCCTGTGCTGCTCCCTGCCCCCTCCCCATCACTCTTGCTGATTCCCCATTTTTTTGTCTGTCTTTGTGTAAATAAAGGCTGGTGCCCACTGGTCTCCATCCCAGCACTAACTTTTACTCCCTCCCCTTTGCGGACACTCACCCACCTCCCCTTTTCTTGTTGAGCATAAATAACCCTGGAACTCGCCAAAGCACAGGACGGTGGGTGGTCTTTCAGATGTGAGTCTGCTGCCCTCCTCATTTGTCGACAAATAAAACCACTTTCCTTCTCCTCAAACTCTGTTTCCTTTTATTGGCCGAGGGAAACTGAGGCCGGTGTTAGGTAACAAGGTCCCCATTTCCTTGCTGCATGTCAGTTAAGGGCTGCCCTTTGCTCCACTCCTGCCTTGTGGGCTCTCAGCCAGCAATACTTCACCAAATCCTCAAGTTTGGACTCTCTCTGACTACAGCTACACCTCTTCTGGCTTCAGCTAAAGAAAGTTCTGTTCTTTTATGGGCTCATGGGATTATACTGGGTTCACTTGGGTATTATACTGGGTTCACTTGGGTAATCTGGGATAATCTCTTTATCTTTAGATCTTAATTACATCTTCAAAATCCTGTTTGCTATATTCACAATTGGGATATCAGGGACAAAGGTAGAAGGCACATATATGGGCTGAATTGTGTGCTCCTTCCCATGTTTGTATACTGGACTCTTAACCACCACAACCTTGTGACTATACAGAGGTAATTTTTGAGAAAATTAGGTCACTCATATGGGCTCTAGGCTACTCTAACTGATATCCTTAGAAGCAGAGGAGATTGGGATATGTCATATACATATGAGGACTTAGGGAGAAGAAGGCCCTCTACAAGTCAAGGAGAGAGGTCTTGAAGAGGTCTGCTGACCTCTTGACCTCAGACTTTTACCTTCCATTTGTGAAAAATAAATATTTGCTGTGTAAGCCACTCAGTCTGTTTATTGTGTTATGAGAGCCTTAGGAAACTAACACCACAATTTTGCTTCCCAGAGTCATGTGTGACCCTTGAATATTTCTTTAGACATGTGTAAATTGCCTATCTACAAATGGGCTGTTTTCTTAGAAAATACTAAGTGAAATATTTAATGAAAAGGTATTTTAACAGTGTGCTTTCTTTCAAATGAAAACAATCTAACAATACAAAGATTTTTTTTTAAGTTAGGCTATAGTATTAAACCAAATCATTCAAGAACTCTTAAATCACTGTCCGCAAACTCCATTTAATTTTTAAGAGTCAAAGCAAAACGTAAGCTCTCTGGGTATTCTATTGCTCCTATACTTCCCCATCCCCAACTTTTAGAGAGAAGTTTCCAGGAAGTGAAATTGCTGTGTTCTTTGATTTTTCTTTTTTCTTTTTTTAAAGATGTATTTATGCATACAAGAGCTGGATGTAGGCCAGAGAAGCAGAGGGGGGTTGGTGAGGATTCATCAAAGATAGAGTGGGGAGCAGAACAGGCAGACTGAGTGAAGTACACTGTTGAGGGGAGTAGTGAGTGAGACAGGAGAGGTCTGCTGTGCCAAGGGATTGAATTTGGTGCTATAGTGGATAGCTTCATAGTGCTGAAACTTAAGTCCTTGGGCCACCAGGGAGACCCCGCTCTTGAATTTATCTAACCTCCTCCAGACTATACTCTTCAAGCCAACCATCAAGCTTGTCTGATGGTGTAACATCTTTTCGTAGCTTAAAAAAAAATTATATGTATGTTTGTGCTTAGAAGAACTGGAGTGTGTAGGCCAGAATTATAGGGGTCTGTGTGTGAGAGGATTCACCAGAGAAGGAGTGGGGAGCAGAACAGGCAGATTGACTGAGGGGAGCAGTGGGTGAGACAGGAGTGGACTGCTGCACCATGTGGGTCTCCTCTGGGCCAGGAATCAAACTTGGTGCTGCAGTGGCTGTGGATAGCTTCATAGTGCTGAGATGTAACCCCTTGTGCCAAGAACTGGCGTGTGTAGGCCAGAATTATAGGGGTTGTGTGAGAGGATTCACCAGAGACAGAGTGGGCAGCAGAACAGGCAGATATACAGAAATATACTGTTTAGGGGATCAACGGGCAGGAGAGTTCTGCTGCACCATGTGGGTCAGCTCCCTGGCCAGGGATAGAACTTGGTCTGGTGATCGTGCTGAGATTTAACCCCTACACCGCCAGGGAGGCCTATAACTTTTTATTCTTAATGATAAAAATCTTACTTTCTAATCTGGACCAGCTGAAATCACTCAAAATCACCCAAAATAACGCCAACCTTGCCTGAATCTACTTATCTGCCTTCTGGGTCACTGCATAAAAGCCAAAGGAAGCAGTCACCCTATAAAATATTTCTTTTTCACTTGTGTAGAAATCTTTTGGGACTGGTTGAAAAGAAATTTATTTATTCCTGATTCTGGCCTAATATACTTGATACCCAGATACAAAAAGAATTCTTGGGCCCTCCCTGGTGGTGTAACGCATTACAGCACAGCACTGTGGGGTTATCTGTGGCCACTATGGCATCAGTTTCGTTCCTGACCAGATTTGCTGACCCGTATGGCTAAACAGACCTGTCCTGTCTCACCTGCTGCTCACCTCAGCAGTGTATTTCAGTCAGTCTTCCTGTTCTGCTCCCCACTCTGTTTCTGGTGAATCCTCAAACCCCCTGCATCTCTGGCTTGTACCCCAGTTGTTGTATGCATAATAATCTTTAAATAAAATAAAATGATCACCATAACATAGTTAGTATCTGTCAACATAGATAGTCACCAAAGTTTTTTTCTTGTGCCAAGGA